TAGGCCAGAGGGATGATGGAGCTGATGAATCGTATCGTGTACAAGTATTGAGTCGAAGAAATAGCATTAGAAGTTGAGAGTCAATTTACGGTTGCGTGTAGCCCTGAGTCTATGCTCGCTCCACTATCTCGTCTCCGGACAGACCTGAAGTCGTTTGAAATGAGGTGAACGCCTCACTTATTGACTTCCAACTTGCTAACAGGAAAGCGTGCAGAGTTTGTTGGAATGAAGATAAGATAAAGCGGATGAAAATGCAAGATATGAAGAGAATAGGAGAAAGAACTTGCATAAGAAGAAAAAGAAGAAGGAGAAGAGGAGGAGAGTGTCTTAATTAGAGCTTAGGTTTTCAAAAAGAAATTCAGATTGCCTCCTCAAGGCCGAGGTAGACAGGAGAAGAGATGAACAGGACGCCAAAAAACCCACAGAAGTCTCACCAAATCTTGACCTCATAGTTTTTGACTATTTTCGCATGGAGAGAGACATTGCAGCAGAACAGATTAGCACAGTCTTTTCTATTCAATCAACTCTCTGTATGACTGGTGACATTGGAAAGGAATCGGTTTTCTCAAAATTCTTGCCAAGAAGTGAGGCTAGAGGGTTGTTTCATCCTAAACTGAGGAGCACGACTAATGCCGTTTGGCCAGAGGCTCAATCTGGTCGCACGAAAGTCGACTTGAGGGATTCTGGTCTAAAGCTCACCTTATTTCTCGACCTCCTTCGAATGTTCGTGAGAGACCCACACTCTTCCATCTGGTAAGTGACGAAAGTCACGCCGGGGTATCATAACCGGCATCTGGAAAAATAGACGAAAACTTTGTTCTTTGCATTATTTCCCCAGCTGACCGCCACAATTCCTTACCTCATCTCAAGTTTTCGGATTTGCCAATTACCCCTTGAAGGGTTTGGGCATGTCACAACCAGGCTGGACGTGTTGTGTGAACAGCACATGTATCTCACGCATATGGCCCTTATTCATGTGGGTTATTGTCATGTCTTTACGATGACCTGTATACTCAGATCACTCTTGAGCCACTTTATTGTCTACTAACCTATTCATATATACACACATATCCATCAATTTATGCAATCATTTCTACCTTTTAAGCTACTATACTACTACAATTATGCCTTCTCCCTTCACACCTAAATATTTATCCATCTCTCCATCCTACTAATCATTTATTATTCAATCTATTCATCCATCCATTGGTTTGCCAAATAATGTGGATATTTTTCGACATGTCTGTCTATAAACTCCGCCTACAGTTTTTTTCACATTGCCTATCTTTCCCTGCTAGTACTTGAGTTACATAGTTTACCACAAAAGAGTCCTTCTGTGCGTCTCGAATAT